CCCCAACAATCTGGGTCCTCATTTTACCCACCTCGGAAGGATGGAAGGCTTCAATGTACTTCAATGTTTTAATGATTGACGAATGATGAAATATTTGTGTTTTTTAAAAGAAATAAAACTCTTTTTCTGAACAAAAAAAATTGTACTTCAATGTTTTAATGATTGACGAATGATGAAATATTTGTGTTTTTTAAAAGAAATAAAACCTTTGGAACAAGAAGCAATGGGTGGAAACCAATCAAAGAGAGAAGCAACCTAGAACTAAGAAGAAATTTCCTGACAGTTAGAACAATTAATCAGTGGAACAACTTGCCTCCAGAAGTTCTGAATGTTCCAACACTGGAAGTTTTAAAGAAGATATTGGATAACAATTTGTCTGAAGTGGTGTAGGGTTTCCTGCCTAAGCAAGGGGTTGGACTAGAAAACCTACAAGGTCCTTCCCAATTCTGTTATTCTGTTATATACTATGCGAAGCATTGGGAAACCTGGGCACAGAGAAGTTGTTCAGGTGCAATCTGATTTGAAGCCATTGCTGCTTTGCTATTCCAAGCCTTCCACAAAGTCTTCAATTGGACCAAATAGCAGGCTTGATTAAATAAGTTCCCTCTGGAACCCAATTGAGTCCATTAGTCACCTGGGGCAGGCCTATCCAATAGGATTTCTGAAGGCTGAAACTTCATATTGCACAGCATTTCATGGCTTGTATTCATTCAGGGCCTGCCCAAGCCATGTCTGATGAGAAACAAAAGGCAGGTTTTCCATAGATAAGCATCTCAATCCTACTTCAACATTGATCCTTCATCATATAGTATACTTGCTTGCTATTTTCAAGGCAGGGTTTTCCCATGAAAAACTGCAATGGATTTATTAATTATCAACATTTTAGCCTCTGGTGGTTGGTTTACTTTGCCTAAAACAAGAACAGTCCTACTTACAAATATGTATATATCAATTTTAGCAACTTTTTTGCAGAAGGAGAGGGAGAGGAAGAGGTTGGGTGGTCACTTAATATATGGAATTAACTGCCGGAGGTATATACAGTGCTAGTGTTGTATTTATCAAAAAATGGAAATGCTTAAGTCACAACTTTGTTTTTTGATCAAACCATTTATGGTTTCTACGTATTATGATATATTGTCTTTTTCAGAATTATTGATGGACATGATCTAATGCCCTTGCTTCAAGGCAATGCTCTCCAATCTGAGCATGAATTTCTCTTTCATTATTGTAATGCATATTTAAATGCAGTTCGGTGGCATCCAAGAAACAGTAAGTAAAACTTTCTGTTTAAATTTAAATATTTTATATAATTTTATTGCAGTTGGAAATACTTGGTGGGAAGAGCTTTGGACTATGGGCATGAAAAAATTATTATCGTAACTCTTGATCTTGGGAGGAAGAAACTGTTCTATATAGCACAGTTTGAAGCAAGACAGCAAACATTTACATTCTCACAGTATTACATTCATGATTTATAATGCAATATATGTTAAAACTTTAATCTCTCATATTATAAGGGATACATTTTCAAATATAAATACATGGACAATACCAGGCAATCTATATATCTTGTTCCATTTTGTAGTTGCCCAAAAGTTTTCTACTTTTGACTATTTTGTTTTACTATATAATGGATTTTTTAAAAAATCAGAGCATTATGTGCAATAGGAAAAGAAAGTAGAAAGGAACCAGTAAATTGGCAGACACAACATTTTTCTAGAGTAATATATTAATCAATGAATAAAAATTAAATAATCAAAACTTTTCTGAAAATTAGTAAGGTTTCATCCCTGCCCCCATTCAGTACAGGTAGTCCTCAACTTACAACCTCAATTGAGTCCAAAATTTCCATTGTTAAACAGGACAGTTGTAAAGTGAATTTTTTTTACATTTTACAACCTTTTTTGTCACAGTTGTTAAGTGAATCACAGCAGTTTAGTAACACTGTTGTTAAGGCAAACTGACTTCCCCATTGATTTTACTTGTGAGAAGGTTACAAGTAAACCTTCTATTTATCATTTGATGATAAATAGGCCACTTTGCTTAGTATTTCATTCAGTATGTAGAACATTAACACTGGAATTTAAAATCAGCTATAAATAGATTTAGCTACAATTGGCATTTCAGAGTTCAAGGTCAGCTTCTTCTCATTGTTATTTGATTAAATAAAATTATCATATTTCAGTATCATTCTATCAGTTCATTCCATTGCATTGCCTAGCATTCATGAAGATTTGGTAACACATCATTGTCACTGATCAAAGTGCTGAAGACCTTCCCAACTACAGGCAGATAGTAAATGGGATACATTTAACTATATTATGGCACATACAGTGAAGGAAAAAGCTACTGATTAACCTTTATGTAGTTCCCAGGAAATGGGCAATAAATTACAACTTTATTCCAAAATAAGCTGTATTGTGATCAACTTTATTTTCATTCATTTTAAGGGTAATTCTACCCTTATACAGAAATACTAACTCTGCCCTTCAACTTGATTATTCTGTCATTTATTGAATATGCAATAAATAAGCTTTGTTGTCCAGTCTATTAGATTTTCCCCCCAAATAATGTTATTAGAGCTTACAGTTTAAAAGAATAACTGTATAACCTTTTTCAAACTCCATCAGATCTCCTAAACATGCCTGATGCTTAAAGATCATTTCTTAACATGAGAACATTGACTATATATTCTAGAAATTCATTGATCATGTTTTATTGTAAAGAATGATTGAATGATAGCCTAAGAATTTTATAAAACATTAGAAATCATACATGCACACACACTAATGTCTACAAGGCTGCAGAAAATTTTTAGATGAAGGTCTTCAATGAGATATAACATGCCACCTTTCACCCTAGAAGTTTTCAACAAATACGAGTAGAAAAGTGTTTATCCATATTTTCTTTTAAGCATGGTAGCATGACAAACGTCTATGGAGATTCTCAATTATCTAGGTCATGGCTGTCCCAAAGGTGCTTTTCAAAAGGCAATTGGACTTTCTTGAGCATGATAAATTGAAAATTAAATAACAAAACAGCAGTCATAAAAGCAAGAGGCTTGGTAAGAATTAGTGTATGAGAATAATAAAAACGATAAATGCAGAAGATAGCATCTATAAAAGTCAAGAAACAAAGTTGTTTTTAGCTGGTAGCTAGAAAGTAACAACATAGAAAAGAGTTTCTGTCCAGAAAACTACATAGATGGGTGTGTAATATACAGTAGAGAATTCTGTCCGTAAGCATTACATCCGAAGAGCCTCTGAGTAGAGCTTAATGAAGGCTTATGAAGGAAACATCTTTCCTCATTTGCCATGCTGCATGAAGCTAGAAGTGTTTCAGCTGCACAATGCCTGCAGATCACAGGCTCCACAAAATGAGCTATCATTTTCATTCTAAGAATGTGTTTTCTTGGGTATGACTGAGGGATGCTAACAAACTGGTGTGTTTCTAAAGGAGAGTAAATAGGATGATACAAAGTCTTGGAGGCAATGGCTGGGGTCATTGGGCATGTTCATCTTGGAGAAAAAATACTCAGAAATTAGGGATTCCTATGCTGGGATTACTTCCAACCTTTTGATTCTATGACTCAGTGATTGGGCTATCACTTACTCTTGTATTCTTTTTTTATTTATACTGTATATGACAACCCTTTTTCCTCCTCCTCTTCCTCCTTTTCCTCCTCCTTTCCTTCATATGAAAATCTTACAAGTGAAGTAGTTGTCTTTAAATGCTGCTGTCTGCTCACTCTAGTCTTTCAATAAAGAATTTCAATAAAGAATGGAGCACAAACAATTTTCTCTTTCCCACTAGATATATACATGAAAAGATATATAACCAAAATATTACACACACACACACACACACACACAAACATACACACACAGACAGAGTCAACACATATGCACCCTCCTTGATCAGTCCATGAGATGAAACTGCACACACCCTGACAAGATATGTAAATTAGAGCCGTTTGAAAAAAACAAAATAATGAAAGGAAACAAAAGGCAGTGCCTTTCAAATATACGTTTGACTTTAGTGGGATATTTGTTCTTTCTTTAGTGGAAAAGTTCTCTTTCTTAGCCATCTTGCAAGTTTTTTTTTAAAGTGTTGGGCAACAACTTCTCAGCAGATTTTCTTTTCGAAATATAATTTTATTAAAACTTTAAAAAAAGAAGATAAAAATGAATTGAAATTACTATAAAGCAAGAAAAAGAGGAAAAAAGATCAAAGAAAGAGCTAAGAGTACAAAAGTATCAGTTCTCATGAAAACCCCAGAAGGCTGTTCACATACAAAAAGTTGAATGTCTTTTTTCTGTTGATGCCCATTGGCTTTTTCTTACATTGTGCAGCCATATGTTGGCCAGATTCTATCCTTGATCTTTTTATGCTATTTTGTTCAGGAAGCCTACACGAGGATTCAAACATTGTTCTTGTCTCTTTCATGTGGCAAGTCTCCAGGGACAGTTTGATTGACTGGTCTCTTGACCAGCCCTGATCTTCATAAATACCTTTTTGGTCTTAGCACAATAGAAGAACATTTATAAAGAGTATTCGCAAAGTATCCAAAGGTCCCTATGTAGCTTATCTCTCTCTTGCACATTACAGTACATAAAGAAAATGTCTAGGCACTTCTTTTGCTCTTTCCCTCTGATATGTGAGCGATGTTATCGGTATAGTATGAGCATTTCAAGCAGTATCTCAGTGACAGGTCTGTTGTCATCTGCCTTTTTTTCTCCCATTCTTTCAAAATATACACCGCCATTGGCAAATAATTATTTTTTAAAAATCACAAAGTGAATTAGGGATATTTGCAAACAGGTGATCTCTGCAAACATGCTGAATAGAAATCACTTTGTGTTGATGTAACACTAAATATAGAATTGCTATCAGAACAGAAACAGCTAAATCCTCAATTTTTCTAAGAACTGAGTCAGATCCTTACCTTAATTTGTTCTTTTGATAATCTCATTTGTAAATAATTCTGCATTATGATATTATTCACCAGTGAACAGAAACATTATGTTAGCGACAGTGAAGAAGCGGAAAATATGAGGTATTCAGCTGCATTTTGTTCAGTGCTTTTGTTTTATTATAAGACATACATTTAATGGATGCTGGGGCATTATTGGTTTTGATATTTGGAAGGCACAGGGTTGCAAGATCTGATTATAGACCTAAAACAGAAAAACATTAAACCTCATTTTGATCTTATACCTAATCAAATATATATTTATATCATTTGCAATATTCTACTAAATGTGGTATTTCAGCTGTTACCAATACGTTCTGATAAAATAATAACATTAGTGGAGACACAAAGAATAACTCAGACAGAGACAATAAAAAAGGAAATAAAATTTTAAAATAATCAATAACCAAGTTATGAAAATGCCTAAAAGAGTAAAATCTATTTCAGCTGCAAGTCAGTTTAGAAGAAAAATATCTTTACCTAGCACAGGACAGACAATAGAGATGAAATTAACTTGGGAGAAGCTTCTACACGGATCTTTCTCATGTTGCTACCAGAGTCTAGAACAAAGATAATTATCTCTCCAGAGGCTCTTATGGTGTTTCATATAATCTAGCCACATATTGTATGTCATATAATAGTACCTTGAATTAAAGCTATGGTAAACCTTTACCTTCAGCCTGTGAAGTTCTCCTAAGAAACAAACTATTTCCAGGAATTAGCCTTAGTTAATGGTCCACCAGAAAAAAAATGGCCCAATGGTCCAATTAACATTCAGCTGCAGCCCAACATGGAGCACATTGCAATACTGAAAACATGATGTTCCACAAACATAGAATTTCATACACCTACATAATCTTAATTTGACCTGTTCCCCAAATATAGAGTCATAATTTTCACAGGGTTACAATTTGCATGGATTTTTCCTCAGTAAAGTCAACAGCTGACACTTCAATATCTGTCCAGAGACTGACCAGTTCAAGAAAGTTGAAGGGCAGCAAGACAGACACCATTCAGGTAGATCTTTGCAACAGGTGACAGCTTGCGTGCCCAGAGAGATGGCTCTGTGTGCCACTTCAAGCATGCATTCCATAGGTTCATCATCATGGTGCTATAATAAGTAGAACAATGATGAAAACTGTCTTGAATGCATTTTGGAAAAAAGAATGACATTCCCATAGGTGTATACTAGAGGCCACCCAACCAAACAGAGGAAATAAATGTACTTTTTGATAGTCAGTTAATTAAGGTATGTAGGAAGCACACCACAATAGTAATGGGGGACTTTAACTATCCT